GACCTCCCAGAGGGCCTTCTCTGCATCCGCTCCCAGACTGTGGAATGGTCAGCCAGATGAGATCCGTCTTACTACTACTCTTGCTGCTTTCAAAAAAACAGTAAAGACGGATCTCTTCCGACAGGCCTTCCCAGAGTAACAGCTGTTGCAGGGAGATGAGTTTTTATCCTTACCTTGTTGGCACAACTGATCCTTTGCTGTTATTTTATTGTTTCAATTGCACTGTATATTTTAATTCTTCTTTGGTTTAATTTTGTTTTAAGGGGTGGGAGGGTGGATTAGGGGAGGAGGGAATGTTTTAACTTGGTTTGTTTTAAATGTTGTAACCCGCCTCGATTGCCATGCAGAGGGGCGGGCTATAAATAAAAATTATTATTATTATTATTATTATTATTATTATTATTATTATTATTATTATTATTAGATCCATGAACTGAATTTAAATTTGCTTCCATCCTTACTTGTATATATGGTTATGGAGAAACATTACCTTGAGAAAACAGGTGGTCTGGAGCTTTGTTGTCCTCTTTCTTGACGATATCAGAGAACTTGCTCACCTCCCTTTCTTTTGGTCACGGCAGTGGTGAGTCAGGTGCAGGGAAGACAGAAAGCACCAAGCTGATTCTACAGTTTCTGGCTGCAATCAGTGGGCAACACTCTTGGATTGAGCAGCAAGTTTTGGAAGCCAATCCCATTCTAGAAGGTGGGTATAGAATTGAAGAGACCCCTGGGGCCATAGAATCATAGACCTGGAAGAGACTATTCTAGTCCAGTCCCATTCTGACATGCAGGAAGACACAATCCAAGCACTCCTGACAGATGGCCATCCAGCCTTTGTTTAAAAAGCTCCAAAGAAGGAGACTCCACCACTTTCCAAGGCAATGTGTTCCACAGTTGAACAGCTCTTACTGTTCAGCCATTTAGCCATCACCACCACGTTCTGTTGGTTCAGGAACCCAATGCTAATGCATCCTTGGCAGATCTGATCTATAGTTAAATCAGGGAAGGGCAAATTGCAACCTCTGGTCTACACTTTTGTGGCCTGGAAGCTCCCACCAGCCTCCCCAAGATTCCTAAATCTCCCTAATTTTTGTCCCTCCAAAACCCCAAAGTCTCCCAAATATGTGAAAACATACAAGATCACTCCATCCCATAAACACTCTAGAACCTCATATTTCCCCCAAATACCTATGTTTGCCTCTACAAAATGATGACAGGAAGTGGCACAAAGAA